AACATGGGAGAAAGACACAATGACAGACAGCACCCTCATTAGGGTCTTCATGCTGCCTTCTGCCCCAGCCTTAACCAGCCCCAGATCACGGGCAACTACTCAAGGAGGTCTTCAGACAAGAATCTGGGCATTTCCCACATGGGTCAGCCTCACAGAGCATTGCATTTTACTGCTGTACCACTGTCCAGCCCCCATCAGCAAGTTCAGTTGAAAGGCAATGCCTGCTTTTATTTTTAATGCCTGTCTTCCTATGGTTTAAGTGACAGTCTAGCCTTCCAGAAAAGTAAACCCAAACCAGATTAACATGAAGAGCTTTGGCTTTCTGAGTGGAGAACGTGCTTCTGAGAACGTAACTAAACAGAGAAATGCATCGGTATGTCCACGATGTTTTCACATACTCTGGCTGAGAAATTAATTCCTGTGAAATTATAACATGACTATCACGGATACTTCCATCACTGGTAACTTAATAGGTGCTATGTAAATTTTTACATGGCCCACACAGGAATTCTACTGGTGTTATTACAGGGGTTTATTTAAGCTTCTAAATTGTCCACAACAAACCCTGTCTTGTTCTGGTCTGGCCTTGGACAGAACGACCTCAACGAGTACAGGACACTGTTTCTCCACAACATATTTGCCCTTCCCCCCACACCTGGCCTTCCTCTTTTTTTTTTTTTTTAAGATTTTTTTTTTTTTTTTTTTTTTAAGAGGTTTTTGCTATATGGCGCATGCACTTGCCAGACAGAGAGACAGAACGTGAGAAATCACCGCCCCCAGGGGGTTGACCATGCCGCAATCCCTTTTCCTCCATTCTCCTCTCAGGATCTTGGGCACGCATGCACACGTGCCCAGTGTGAGTTTTAAGCCAGCGGGTCCGGGACGAGAACCACGGTCGACTACGTGGGAGTCCAGCGACATAGCCATTACACTAACTGCTGGTCCCTGGCCTTCCTCTTTTGATAGAGGATGCATGTACCCTCCTGTGAGAGAGAAAATGAGAAAGTATCCTCCATGGGGGATGCTCACACCATGGCACCTTCTCCTCCATCTCTCCCTCCTTCTGGGACTTTGGGAACACATGCACTTGCACCTGATGTGTTTTTTTCAAGCTTTCAGGTTCGGGACCCCTGCTGCGTGGTTGGTCATGTCCAGCCACATTACCCACCAGGCCACTGGTTGGTCCCATATTTAACCCTTTTCTTTTTGATAAACATTTTAATGTACCGTTCTGTACACAGAAAATTTAAAGAGTTGTTGTGAGGATGAAAAACTGCCAAAATTCTATTTTTTTCTAGAGCCACACAAATACTTGAATATATAGTTTCCTGATAGCTGTGCTGTGCTTGTAACAGTTCATTAGAGATTTCTGTTATTCAAAGAGGGTTAAGAACTGACGATGACTTCATTTCCCTTAGCCAAAGGCTTCTCCCTCAACAGTATTACTAAAGCAATTTTAAGCAAACAATTAAATCAAAATGGAAATTTCAGAGCACCAAGGAGACACATAAGGGCAAGGTAGTCAGTCCTTATGTTAAACTGAATCCTGAAAAGAGTGAGTGAATAAATATAGCAACAACTCTCTCCACATTCTGTTAACCATAAATCACTCTTTGTAAGGGAGAAACTGTCATTATGCCTTCAACTTGCAGAACATAATTTAAATAATATATATTTACTTTTTAACTAAACTCTAAGCAAATCTTATTCTTATCAAGTACCTCCTTGTGGTTTCCCAAAAGGAAAGTTCACTGTCAAAATGTATAGGATTTACATGAGTTGACAGCTAAAATAATTCCTCATTTGCCTTTTGTGACATTATTATTATTACTATGATTACGTTTATGCCAGAGGGTGTGCCTGCTCACTGGAGAGAGAAAGAGAGAGGGAAAGTGAGAAATCATCCCTCCGCCAGGGGTCTGGCCATGCCACAATCCTTTCTCCAGATTTTGCATATGCACGCACATGCACCCAGTGTGACTCTCAAGTTCTCAGGTCCAGTACTCAAACTACAGTTGGCCATGTAGGAATCCAGCACCTTATTAACCACCTGCTGGCCCTTGTGAGGAATCCAGCACCTTAACCACCTGCTGGCCCTTGTGGTGTTATTATTACTTTTACTTAATAGGAATAGCGTTTGAGAACATAAAGGACGTTGTTCACAGGGAAGGCTCAACTGCAGGGTGCTAAGCACCCTCTTCCTCTCTCATCTCGGCTCCCTGCCCTGCTTCCCCCTCCCCCCACCACAAAGTGGACGCTGCCCTCACATGACAGAGACAGCCAGGTTAGTGTACAAGTCACCTAGGTCATGGGATGAGTGCAAAGAACTTGGTTTTCTTCCTCCCAATAACAGAGCTCTTTCTTCCACACAACTCTTGCACACTCTATGTTCTAAAATCTACTTTTGACCTCTTTTTCCTATTTCAGAACTGGACAGTTTATCAAAGTTACTGTTACATGCAATCATCTATAACTACACACTGCCAATATGCTACCTTATCCTTACCGTAAGTCAGTAATCAGTGAATTCAAGTATCTATTAAATTATATTTTAAAGACTATTTTCTCTATTCTTATCTTTAAAATACATTGAAAGTATCGCAATACTAGTTTGTTCCTTTGTAAAGA